GATTAAGAAAAAATTGTTAGTTTCCATTGTGATTCTATCATATGTAGTAGCAAAAAATATAAAAGTTACGTACTTTTGCCCAACGGGTCGAATGACCGGGCGTAGAGCCTCAGGTATCGGCCGATCAGGTAGTCTCGCCGCACCTCGTTGGTAGACACCCGAGGTTGCGGTGGAACTGGAACCTCCTGCCTCGGCCTCCTGCTCGTCCTGCCGCTGCTCCTGCTCATCCAGCTGCTCGGCCTCGTGCTCGTCCAGGGAGGAATTGTCGATGTTTGTCGAACGCGGAATATTTGCCGCCCTTCGGCAGCCAATTGAACTGCAGAGCTGCCTTGCACGTCGGGCATGGAAACTTCCCGTGAACACACCAAGCGCTGAATATCCCATATGCTAGGAAGTCATGCATAGAGTATTGATACCAAACATGCATGTTGAAGTTTGTCTTTGTAGCTCGATCGTATGTCCATACACCATGGTCCCAAGCATGGACCAGTTCATCGAAGAAAGGCTCCATGAACACACCCATGTTATTCCTAGGGTGTTCTGGAATTATCAACGACAAGAACACATTCTGTCGTTGGAAGGAGATGCCAGGAGGAAGATTGAGGGGGATAACAAACACAGGCCAACAAGTGTATGGGGCAGCCATCATTCCATAAGGATTGAACCCATCTGCTTGCCGATTGCAACACGCACATTACGTGCCTCACCACTTTGTTATGATGAATGTTATCAAAGTGATGCCATGCTTCACCATCAATCGGTGGATGCACCATCTTCTCGGGGATCGTATCTTTTTCCATTTTTGTGCCATGTCATCTGCATTTCATGGACTCCTCTGTCATGAATAGCCGTTGGATCCTCGGTATGAATGGAAGGTACCGTAGGATTTTCACGAAGTACGGACTCGCCTCTTCTCACCATCACGAGTCTACCTCCGAGATACCTAGAGGATTTACACTTTGGACAATACTTTGCATCCGCGTGTGCTTTTCTAAAGAGGACGCAGCCTTTCTGGACAAGCATGTATCTGCTCATACGGCATCTTAAGTGCACGAAGGACCTTCTGCGATTCGTACATGTGTACGTGGCAAAAAGGTGACCAGCCGGAAGGATGGAGCCAATAACTGTCAACATTTCATCAAAGTTCTCTCGACCGAGGTTGAACTGGGACTTTAAGGCCATTAAGCGTGAAATGCCATCAAGCTTTGAAATCGTGTGTGTGGCCATGAAGGGGTTTTCCGCCGCGGACAACATGTCGTAATGTCGCCTTTGCGCTTGCCTCTGCTCCTCCTCCCGCCTCGTCCTTCAAATAAGTGTGCTTTGTGAAAGTCATCTAACCAATCTGCTACCCCGCATCGACATTATAATCCTCGACACGTGGTCTCACCACCTCCTCTCACACGATCGGCTTCACCGTGGTGGGTCCACTGGTATAGTTTTTCAGTAAATCCATTCCTAGCAAGATGTGAAGTCATCACCTCCTTTATCCGCCTCTTTACATTCTTCGGTTGTTGCAAGGACAAAAAACGGCAACCGCCTCAGGAGCTGGTCAAATGCTTGCTCGATGAAAGCCTCGATCCCGACGACCCATTCTCCGTAATCTCACGGGTGCTCCGTGACCAGTACATCCACTCACGGTCATCCATCCTCTAACATATATATCACCAAGTAATAAATATGACCATGGACTTGCATCTACACGTCGTTCCTACCATCTAATAGGTAAGGATAGGTCCTAATCCCACCCGAGGATGCATAGATGGGGTTAGTTCCCATGGTCTAGTCCTATCCGAGACAGAAATTCAGCAGCACCTCCCCGCTGTTCTCCAAATACACGTCCGGACAGGGGAGATTGTGTATCCGGAGAACAACAGAAGGTACTTGTCGAAACTCTGTCTCGGATCGGAGCGAACATGAAACTAACACCATCTACGCATCCTCGGCTGTCAAAAAAACGTGGACAATTCAAAACAAATACGGTTATAGATATGCAAAGATCTGCATATTTGTAACCCTATCTCTTCGAACGGGAGACGCCTAAACTGTTACGTGGAGATACATGCCCAGACAAAGAAATAGTGGTTATACCTTAGGTGGCGGTGAAGTCGGGGCTAAGCGGGGCCGTGGCGGAGTCGGTGCATGGCGAGGGCGACGCAGTGGTGCGTGACCACTCCATAACGTCAAGGAAGACGAGGTACTCCGGCTAGCCTCCGATGGGATCTTCTCTGAAAATCAAAAGGACACAAGACCATCAATTCAAAATTTCGGCAGCACCTCCCCTGCAGGGTGAGGTCTCCAAAACCTGCAAGAAACAAACGACACGATGGCCGGCAAGCATATATATCTCAACGGCACGATGGCCGGCATGCACATATACAATTCCAACATAAACAACAATCGACAATCCCAAACGTCGAAACGCCATCGGCACACCACCGCCGAAACCTCCGCCGAAACCTCCACCACCACTTCAACACCACCCCAACACCACCACCATGACCTCCACCACCCCAGCACCACTCCACCAATCCACCACCACTCCACCACCACCCCACCACTACCACTACCACTACCACTACCACTACCAAGAAATACAAGATTGCAATACCTAGGGCGCCGGGCACGTAGAGCGGAGACGGGCGGACGCCAAGGGCGAGGCGGGCTACTGGCGGCGGGGATCTGGCTAGGCGCGACGAGCGACGACGCAATTTGGGGGGCGGGCGGCGGCGTGGCGCTGAATCGCAGGGAGGCGTTGCGGTGTGGCCGGGGCGGGAGGGCTGCCATTGCTGCCGGGGCGGGCGGCGCAGTGTGCTGGCGGGCGCTGTGTGAAAGCCAGGGGCGGGCGGCAGCCACCAACCAATGACGGCGACCGGCGAGGCTTCTTCGCCGGCCGGTCGGCAGCGCGCCAGCTGGCGGGCGGGCGGGCGGTTGCGGCTGCAATGCAGCAATGGCCGACAGCACCAGCGAGGCTTCTTCATGGCTGCGGCCGGGACGGTCTGGCGGGCGTTCATGCGGCTAGACAGCCATGGCGCGGCGGGCGGTGAGCTCCACGGGCGGCGACGACGAGCGGCGATGTGGTGAGCGCGGGCGCGCGGCGGCGATGCAGCGTGGGCGTGGTGGCGGGCGGTTGGATAGCCTTTGTGTCGCGGGCGCGTTGGATAAGACACGAGGCCTAGACACGGAGGCCCACTTTGCCGAGAGCCAGATCACGGCGGCTCTCGGCAAACATCCCGCCTTTGTCGAGAGCCAGGCCGATCCGGCTCTCGGCAAACATTTTTTTTTTGAAAAAATTATTTATTTCTTATTTAAATAACTGCAGCAGCAAAAAAATTTAAATAACCTGGAGGCCCACTTTGCCGAGAGCCAGATCACGGCGGCTCTCGGCAAACATCCCATCTTTGCCGAGCACCAGGCCGATCCGGATCTCGGCAAACATTTTTTTTTTGAAAAATATACTTATTTCTTATTTAAATAACTGCAGCAGCAAAAAAAATTTCTTTTTTTACTCCGCCCAGATTTTTTTCAAAATAAATGGAAAAATTTTTAATCCTTTGCCGAGAGCTGCTCTCGGCAAAACCTAATAAATCTTTGCTGAGAGCCACTCTCGGCAAAGAAAGGTTTTTTTAAATATTTTTTTTCAAAATGATTTTTTTTTAAAAAATAACTCTTTGCCGAGAGCTTCTAGGGGCGCTCGACAAACCCTTGATGCAGGCCAGGTAAAAAAAAGCGAAATCGGAGCCGAGAGCTAACCAGAGAGCTCTCGGCAAAGGTTCTTTGCCGAGAGCAAAACCCATATGCTCTCGGCAAATAATTTGTAAAAAAGAATTAAAAAATAGCAAACGGCTCCCAAAAATTACGAAATTTTGCCGTGTTACAATTTATGCTTTCTAATGACTATAGAAAAAGTTTGGAAGTCCAAAACCTAATTCACGCGTGACATTGTTTGAAAATCCTAATGGATCCTTCTCAACTCTATGAAACATATTCGGAGATGTTTCAGATTGTAAGAATCAGACGCCACCGCTTGTGCGAAACTTTTTCAAATTTTTACCACGGCCTCCAAGTGTGGTACCATGACTTTATTGCAAATATCACAATTTTCCGACTTCGTTTCCGTTTTTTAAGAATTTTTAAATCGTTCGGCGACATTTTCGTGGTATTCGATTCGTAAAATAAAAGGTGAAAAAAACGTCAACAAGATGTTATTTGGCCTCAATAATGCATAAATAGCATGAATATCAATTTATACTTAATTATTTCCCGTGTTTAAATCACTCGTCATTCAAATTTTAATTTTTACCCGTGATTAAAAAAACTGCTTGAAATGCAATTAATTAAATAGATATAGCAAATAATTACAAAAATACACAAAATTTTAATATTGAGTTAGAACCTATAGTATGTGTATAGAAAAAAAGTTTAGGCGCCCAAAATAAAAAAAAAAAATAATATTTTTGGACAAAAGCGAGGAGAAGAAAACACATGAAATAATAAGCACCCTTTGCTTGAGAGCCATACATGGCTCTCGGCAAATAAATAACTTTTGTTGAGAGCGGCTCTCGGCAAATAATTAACGCCGTAAGCCTAAATAACGCTGGAAGCCTATTGCCGTCACGGACTTCTTTGCCGAGAGGCGGCTCTCGGCAAATGTTATGTTTGCCGTGAGTTCTTATTTGCTGAGAGCGCAGCTCTCGGCAAAGGACAAGTTTGCCGAGCATTTTTGTTTGCCGTGAGCCGTGCTCTCGGCAAAGTTAACCTTTGCCCAGAGTTTTACTTTGTCGAGAGGTGCTCTCGGCAAATCAATTCTTTGCTGAGAGCCCTTTGTTTTGCGCTCGGCAACTATTTAGGCTCTCGGGAAAGGCCGGTTTTCCCGTAGTGATTACTACATATTTATATATGACTTGTATGCCTTGTCGTTCTTGTATAGCACCAGCACTTGATGAGCCGAGCAGAGGTGGACAGGCCACTCAAAAGCATGCATGTTAGTTTGCTAGCTACAGCTAGAGGACATGATGGATAGGGTTGAAGAGCAGGTCCTTGACCATTTGCTTCATGCGATGAGTCGGCGAGGTGATGCCGTCCCCGTCCTGGTAGATGCAGTGGACGATCCGGGCGAGGTTGAGGCACAGGTTGGCCATGGTCGTCATGCTTTCCGTCGTTTCTGTCGCAGATGATGAGCAGCAGGAGGGGTCGTTACCACCGGACCCGGAGGCGGCGACGACGACGACCTCCCAGTTGAGCGCCTTCCAGGTCTCAGCGATGACGCCCTGGACGGCGGCGCGGGCTTGCTCCTCGCCGCCGGCGCACCAGGGCTCGGCCATGCAGCAGTCGATGGACGACGGCGCGTCTCCCCGCTCTGACTCCGCCTCGTGCGACGCGCAGTCGTTGCAGAGGCGGAAGATGGTCGAGGACAGCTCCACCAGCCTCGGGTAGTCGATGCCGGCGGCGGCGCCATTATTGGCATCGCCATTGGCCTGCGTGATGGGCGGAACAGCTGCGGCAGCGGGAAGAGCATGGAGCAGCAGGAGAGGCCCCGTCGACGTGATCCACCCGTTGCTGACGTACTCGGCGAAGCTGGGCATGTGGCCCTGCTGCTGCCACTGCGCCTCCACCAGGAACGCCTTGCACAGCTCGTGCCACTGCATTGGATCGTTGCATGTATCCGTTCAGAAGATGAACATGAGCAGTACATGAACATGATGGATCTTAATTTACGTACCGCCTTCTTGTAGAGTGGAAGCATGTCGTATCCATGTTTCTCGAGCACGCGATCTGCTGCGGCGGCCGAAGTTGTCCAGATGGCCGAGTACATGGCCTTCATGTACTCCGGCAGCGCCATACCCATGACGACGGCACTGTCGTCGTCGTCGCGGTGCTCCCAGCTGGCGATGGCATCGGTGAAGGCCTGGAGCTCGTCCATGGTGCCGTGCACGTCGTAGATGTCGTCGAGGTGGACGATGAGGGCGCCGGTCTTGGCCAGCACCTCCCTGCACTCCGCCAGGTGCGGCTCCGGCGCGATGCAGGCGGCGCAGAAGAAGCACTCCACGACGCGGTCCCTCGCGAAGGAGTACTCGCCCAGGAGGCTCTCCTTCCACCACCGCGTCACCTCCGCGAGCTCTCGCCGGTGGAGAGCCTGCACCAGGTTGAAGTCCAACTGGGCCAGCTGCAGGATGGCCGGATCGACGGCGACACTCTTGTTATGGTCGTCGTCCTTGAGCGACCACATGGCCTGTAGCCTCGGAGCTGTCCATTGTAACGGCAACGGCAACGGCAACAACAGGTGGGTGCAGTCAGAGTCATCGTCACGTCCTGCTAGCTTGCCGACGGCGAACGCTCTTGCTTGGTCCAGGACCGTGTCTCCCGGGAAGGCGAGATATGAAGCTTGGTACACAGCGAGCAGTGCGTCGCTGTCAGTTATCTTGTCGCCTTCCTCTCTCAACGCACTCATCAGCATGTCTGTGGCAGTAGTAGTGAAATATACCAAAACGGGTGACTATATATGTGTGTTGCAAGAAATAGTGTAGGAGTAAGACCGAAATTGAATGAAAGTGATTTCTATATATCACATCTCTTATGTTTCGGGTGCCTGAATTTTAAGTTAATTTCAGGCAACACTCTTGTACAAATCAACCAGTAATAATAAATTGCTATTTTTGGGATTTGTTATTTGTCTTTGTATTAAAGCATATAATTTTTTTTGTTCTTGTTTGACTATACAAACAATTGTAAATCGTTAATTGTATTTATGCCGACACGGATTAGATTTTGTTGGATTTGTATTTTTATATAACGGGGTTTTATTCTCGGAGCAAAAAATTGTAGATTATGTGTACATAAAGTGCAACGAAATAAAACAACAATTTTAGTATGAACTGTATACAATAACCGTCGCCAGAAAGGAAGCAACTCCTTATATATATATATATATATATATATATATATATATATATACACACACTTCTCCTATCTTAGGTGTTTGGGTTTTTTCTTTGTTATTGATTACACAGCATATAATTTTGTCATTGTTTGGTTGGTGACAGCAGAAATTATGAATTGTCTATCATAAGCTGTTATTTTAATTATACTAGTTGATTGTGTAAGATTATTATCTGAATATTTCAAAAAATTCAGACACCTGGCAACTTCCAGAGTCTCCCCCCACCTGTGGATGCAGGAATGCCCAGTTCTCGGAGCATTCTGAAAAGAAGCGCAGCTGAATGCAGGTCAAGGTCACGGTGGGTTCCAAGTCCATGTCCATGGTGCTGGTGCATGGACATGAGGATGTCTTTTGTCTCTTGGTGGAAATGGTAGGCTATTCCAAGGCTCTGCAGCTGATGGATGGTCCTCAGCAGCAGACTGCTTCTGTCGTCGTCGTGCTCCTTCTCCTGGAGTACCAGCAGCATACGCCTGACGCTGTCCTTCAAGCTTGCTTGGACCGACGACTCCATCTCGCTGCTAATAATATCTGTATTGCTAGTAGCCACCTGCATGCATGTATTAAGTATTAAAGTACACACATACATGCTGAGTACGTAGCATTTATGTATTGAACCTGTCTAAAACGACCGAATTTTAATTTTTTTAATAACAGGCTCATGAAAATCCCAAGTGTAAAGTAATAGAGAAGTTTTCCACCGGATATAACATCATAGCCGCAAAAGTACTACCAGCTGCAGGTGGCTGGCGATAGCGTCGTTGTCGGCTGCTTCTTCTTCCTCTTGGCTGCCGAGAGGGAGAGGGCGATGGCGAGGGCGAGGGAGCAACTCATGGTGGAGCGGGCGGCGGCTGAGTAGCGAGCAGATGGAGTCGTAGTCCCAAGTGGTGGGCTCGTAGTTGGCCGACCGCCGCCTGTGCAAGTGCAACTGCAACGCGGCCGGCGACTTGACGACGACCTGCTGTACCCGTTGGTGGTGGTGGTGGTCCGATGAGTTGGAGTCGGAGCACACGACGACGGGGCTCTCAACAGGCAATGCCATGATCGATATATATCGATGATGCACGCAGTCGATCAATGCATGCATGTAAGATCGATGTGGTGCCAGCCAGAGGGCTAGCTTGCATGCATATATAGGAGGAGGAGGAGGATCAGCAACACCACACACCGGCCCAACACAAGAGGTCAGCAGAGACGCTTCCGGGCCCACCGCCCACGTGGGCGCCTGGCAACGCCAACCTTGTCACACACGTGGCTCCCTGGCCAACTGTGCCATGCTGCCTGCCACGTATAAATATCTATCTGTGCCGGGTCCACCACCCATGCATACTCTGTTTGCACCATACATAATACTTATATTATACAGTGCTACTGATTTTTTTTGTTATTATATAAATATGAATAATAATAGAAGGCATGAGACGAGAGAGACCCTAGCTAGCTGAAATGGGAGCTACACAACACAACGCGTGTATGCGGTACGTATCTATCCAGCCAAAAGTAAAATTCAGACTTTTTCGATCGTAGCTAGCTCCAACATGCTCTCCTAGTCCTTGTGTGTCATGTACGTCAGTTGCGCGTTCACATCATCAAGCTAGCTACCAGAAATAATTCAACGACGTTGGAGTATATGTGTGCATAATAGTGATCGGTGTCATTGTCTAGCAGGACAGCCATGTAAAACATATTATTATTATGCTATATATGTATTATATTATATATTATATATTATATATACATATATACGTATATGTGTGTGACGGAGAGGGATCCGCTGGCTAGATACTACTCTCATCATATTCTGCATGAAGGAGTATATACTACTCCCTGTGCCCTGTCTGATCTTCACTGCTACAAAAATAATTTCACGAAGCGGTGCCTTTTTATTAATCGAGGTGGTCACACAATCTAATCACTGGTCAAGTGTTGTGGTCGCTCATCCCCTTATTGAAGGGATTCATTCCATCGGTGCTTAAGTCAAACCGTACATTTCTTGGGCCATCGCTAAATTCTTTGTGCTTCTCATCGATCCTTTGCCACTGACTACAATCAGCCGGGTGTGCAATCTTATCATCGTCCACATTGCGCTCACCATCCCACCATGTCATGAGTGCGGATTCTTTAGGGTTTAGGAAGATACGTCTCAAGCGGTCGATCACTGGCAGGTACCACATTACTAAGGCAGGAATTCTTCTCTGCTTTGCATCGTTGCCTAATGGAGTGTCCTCTGGGGGCTGAGATTCTTGTACCACCTTTTTCGCACCCTTCTTATTTTTCTTTTTCCCTGTGGAGGCTTCGTCCCCACCGTAAATGTCATTGTTCTTGTACCGGCTGGCCCCACATCGGGGACATTTATCCAGTGACTTGAACGTTTCGCCACGAAAAAGGATACAGTGGTTGGGGCATGCATGGATTTTTTCAACTCTCATTGTCAATGGACTTATGACCTTCTTTGCTTGGTATGTGTTGGCCAGAACTAAGTTTGGTTGTGGCAGCACCCATGACAAGAGACACAATAGATCATTGAAACTTCAGTCTGACCAGCCGTACTTAGCCTTCAGGATGAGTAGCTCAAGCACAAAACGTAGCAATGTCCAATGTATCGGACAGTCCTTTTCAACACCATACACAGTCTCCTTCGATGCTTTTGTCACCCTTTCCAAATTTTCTAGACCTTTCGGGCTCTTTAGTAAAATCTCTGGTCTAAGGGCTCGAATCATGTCCTCCAAATCAACTTCATCCCCGACACGTGCTCCGCCATCATTATTGGCACCACCTTCGTCGTTATCATCCCAACCACCAGCATCACCACTTTGTTCATTGCTAAACTCGGGATCCATTCGTGCATTAAGCTATGCTGAATATTGGGACAGGGATTATAGGGTTTCATCGTTGTATTCCTCCTCATCCTCGTCGTTAACAATAACCGTTTCACCATGATGAATCCACACTGTGTAGTCCTCAACAAATCCTCGCATAATCAAATGTGATATGATGATAGTCACATCTGTCCATCCCATACAATTATTGCAATCTTTACAGGGACAAATAATTGTATCCTTATTCTCTGTCAACGTCGTTGCATGTTTCTCTGCGGCTTTAATAAATTTATCTACCTCTTCACGGAAACCTGCCTTGAACCTTAACGAACCATACATCCAAGAGTTCCTGTACTCCATCTTTTATAACAACAACAAAACAAACATTAAAGGACTACTTATTCAGATATATATAAAAATGAATCAAATTAATAATTACTTAAGAATAATTATATATACTTCAGATATATATGAATATAAATCAAATATAATTACATGAAGCATACAAACACACCATGGTAGAGGAAAAATAATTAATGGCCTATTTATCCATAAATAATTAAAATACATATTTGTTGATTACAATAAACAATTTCAAAGACAACAATTAGCAACAATTATATTTTACCCAATATCTTTCATGCAAACCTTAGTCCAATTTCATCAAATATAAATTTACAAAAATAAAATTAATAAAAAAATCAAACCCTAGATCTAGATCTAGATCTACATGCACATGAAACATCCATAAAACTAACTAACTGTTCACTAAAATCAAGAAATATGGACCAAATAAGGGTGTGATCTTGTTCCCCTATCTAATTTATCCTAGTACATTCAAAACTTGAGATTAATTTGCTTCATAAGTAGCTCAAGCACCATAGAAGACAGAGAAAAGCAAAACTCTAATTACTCACTAACCAACCATTAAAACTTCAAAAAAAGTGTAGAATAGCATTTTCTTACCTTCTACAACCTCTCCACCAAAGGATTTGAGACCAAAACCTTCCCCCCTTAGTAGAGCAATTTTTGGAAGGTGCCCAAAGCCTCCCTACCTTTTTTTCACGGGACTATACAAACAATTGTAAATCGTTAATTGTATTTATGCCAACACGGATTAGATTTTGTCGGATTTATGGTTTTATCTAACGGGGTTATATTTTCGGAACCAAAAATTGTAGATTATGTGTACATAAATTGCAACGAAATAAAACTACAATTTTAGTATCAACTGTATACAATAACCGTCGCCTGAAAGGAAGCAACTCCTTATATATAGAGAGAGAGACACACACACTTCTCCTATCTTAGGTGTTTGGGTTTTTTTGTTTGTTATAGATTACACAACATATAATTTTGTCATTGTTTGGTTGGTGACAGCAGAAATTATGAATTGTCTATCATAAGCTGTTATTTTAATTATACTTGTTGATTGTGTAAGATTATTATCTGAATATTTCAAAAAATTCAGACACCTGGCAACTTCCAGAGTCTCCCCCCACCTGTGGATGCAGGAATGTCCAGTTCTCGGAGCATTCTGAAAAGAAGCGCAGCTGAATGCAGGTCAAGGTCACGGTGGGTTCGAAGTCCATGTCCATGGTGCTGGTGCATGGACATGAGGATGTCTTCTGTCTCTTGGTGGAAATGGTAGGCTATTCCAAGGCTCTGCAGCTGATGGATGGTCCTCAGCAGCTGACTGCTTCTGTCGTCGTCGTGCTTCTTCTCCTGGAGTACCAGCAGCATACGCCTGACGCTGTCCTTCAAGCTTGCTTGGACCGACGACTCCATCTCGCTGCTAATAATATCTGTATTGCTAGTAGCCACCTGCATGCATGTATTAAGTATTAAAGTACACACATCCATGCTGAGTACGTAGCATTTATGTGTTGAATCTGTCTAAAACGACCGAATTTTAATTTTTTTTAATAACATGCTCATGAAAATCCCAAGTGTAAAGTAATAGAGAAGTTTTCCACCGGATATAACATCATAGCCGCAAAAGTACTACCAGCTGCAGGTGGCTGGCGATAGCGTCGTTGTCGGCTGCTTCTTCTTCCTCTTGGCTGCCGAGAGGGAGAGGGCGAGGGCGAGGGCGAGGGCGAGGGAGCAACTCATGGTGGAGCGGGCGGCGGCTGAGTAGCGAGCAGATGGAGTCGTAGTCCCAAGTGTTGGGCTCGTAGTTGGCCGACCGCCGCCTGTGCAAGTGCAACTGCAACGCGGCCGGCGACTCGACGACGACCTGCTGTACCCGTTGTTGGTGGTGGTGGTCCGATGAGTTGGAGTCGGAGCACACGACGACGGGGCTCCCAACAGGCAACGCCATGATCGATATATATCGATGATGCACGCAGTCGATCAATGCATGCATGCAATGCAAGATCGATGTGGTGCCAGCCAGAGGGCTAGCGCATGCATATATAGGAGGAGGATCAGCTGCGTGCGTGCGAATGGCCAATTCACGCCGCGTGTTCCCCTCGTGCGTGCTTTTCATTTCCGGTGATCCGGCTCTCTTCCTCTCTTCTTCTGACGTCGTCTAGTGTAGCGTGTGTATGTACCCGTAGCTTAGCACGTGTAAAACGTGCACGTTCTGTGGATATAAATAGGGTCTGTCTAGCAACAACCGGTTGATTTAGTCTCTTCCATCAACTGAATTTTTTATATGCACTGACACTATTTTATAGCTATATTTACATTGACTTATTACTACATTTACAATGATTTCTTCAGTGTAATTTATTGGATAGAGTGATGTAATTTGGGAATAGCATAATTATATGCCAATTTTTTTAAAAATACAAATTATTTTTATGGATTCCAGACACCAAAGAAATATATATCAAATTGTTCACAAATTCTTCACAAAATTCAAAAAATATACAAAATCCACACAAAATTGCTGCAAAACGAAACGGCGCCGGCCTCTCACGCAGAAAGAAACGGAGGGAGCAGCGCCTCTGCTCCACTCTTGGTCAACCGGCGCAACCCCTCATGAGCAGTCCCTCTCTCCTTTGCTCACATACACGCTTCACTACTCGGCGGTGGACACGCAGCCTGGGCGAGTAGGGCGCCTACGTGGCTCCCTCGAGAGAAGCCATGGGAAACGGCGGAGGCGACCACGAGGCCGAAGTTATCCGGTTGGTTCTCTATCGACGGCTGAGGGAGGATGGGCGAGGAGGATCGAACGCCATCCGATGGCAAAAAAAACGGTTGAGGATGTCCCTAGATCAACCGGTTGACCATTAGCATTTCTCTATAAATATGTTGAATGTGGGTTATCTAGCCATATATCTCCAGTCACATGTAAAACGTGCACGTTCTTTGAAACCAAGTGCTCTTCCCATCACCAATGCAACTAGTGCCAGAGTACACATGTACAAAGCGCGCAACAAGCTTCTGTGGATGCAGTACGCGCAACCACATGAAGCATCAGCATCTGTGGATGCAGCTGCAGGTCCGCCGTGGGTGTCTTCTCCAGCATCTCCACAACCCTGCTCATCGTCGGCCGATCCTGCGGCGAGAGGCGGATGCACCAGAGACCAACGATCACCAGCTTAACCGGTATCTCCGTTGACGTCATCTATAAAATAGCCGATTTCCAATACCGCATCAAAACCGGCTGATATCGATTCACATCTGATCGACCCCTTAATGATACAATCTTGGAAGCTTCAAGTTCCAACGATATTCTCTTCCCAAATTTTAGTATAAACAGTACCATTACTATCACTAGTGTTCTCTTCTCTTTTCTCAAGCAAGCATGCAAGATCAATTTGCCAGAACAATCCAATTAGTACCAAAATTATAATAATACCGTACCTAAAGTACCCCTCAAATTTGCAATATGTAACAGCATTACTGCACAGTTCATTCAGTTTCAGATCCAGTCCTCAGGAATACAATTACCACACAAGTACTCCATAAACATCACTGGGACCAACAAGGCAACAAATAATTGACCTTATCTGCGTCAAGAATGCACATGCAATTCAAATAATGATATGGACATATGGTACTGCTGGAGATGTCATGTCATGCTCCGGGTCGCAGTAGCACAACCGGCCAAATAAGGAGTCGTCAAATTCATTAGCACTACGCAGAACTCTTTCTCATATAGAATGATGATGATGACAGCACTGATGCTTCCATAAACATAACAGCACAAGCAAAAGCATTCAACTACAACCGGATGTAGGTTTTCAGCAGTTTCAGCTTATCCGGAGTTCTTAGCATGTAACACCAAATAAAAAAAAAGCTCTCTAGTTAATAGGGTGGTATTGCGCCGACACCCGCTTGGGAGGAAGCTTCCGAAGGACAAAGAGAACTAGCGCAGAAGGCAGTATCTCTGCGAACTGTACAATTGAGAACATTCATAAGAACATCAATCCTGGGGATGAAAAGATGCTATAATAGTTGAGCACAAGGCAGTGTTAGTGCTTTTACCATATAATAGAAGAAATCTAGGATTGGATGATCCAAAACCTCGAGAGATACATCGGCATCGAATGCAGATAACGCCACCTACCATCAGTGCACATAAGTAGCAACTATCAGAAATAAAAACCCTGCACGATTTATATACATATACATGTGGGGTGTCTTTTCTTTAAAGAGAATTTGCAAACTGCAAATTCATTTGTTTTGTCATAGTTCTCAAAACAGCACACAGCATCCCGTGTGGTTAGTCTACTGTGTGTGTCATGTTTGTACGAGACAGGTCAACATCATACATCTACTTTCGGCCAACCAAAGGAATAATCAACCTTCCCTCCTTGAATACCAGCAAATCAGTAAGTGGGAACAAAATACTCACCACAACACATCTTATCAGGAAGCAGGTAACACAAATTGCTGTCACAGTCCCAACCTGAGACATTTCGAAAAATGCAACATCAGAATGGAAATTATGGAAACGCTACAGTTCTGAACATATTGTTAGATGAAGAACCAAATAGGCAGATCCGTTATTAAGATACCAGATTTTTTTTTAACAAAACATATGAGATAGTAAATAAAATACTACCTTTTCCAAACCAAACAAATGGAAATTCTATGTAGAGTTTCTTGTAATAATATATGTGGCAATGCCCTTGCCACCCTTTTGAGAAGAAAAAATATATGTAGAGATATCATATACCATAGTTAGTTGTTAGTCACTAGACAAATGACCAATTGATACAAGATTTAGCTACAGTTATGGAGCTCCAAAAAATGATGTTGCAAACATGGCAAATGAATTTCATGTTCAACACATGTCAATTTCCACTACTTAGCAGTAAAATATGATATCCATAATTCATAGTAAGTGATAGCGTCAACCAAATGATATATCCTAACACCATACTACGTCGACAAATTGTTTTCTAATTTCTACGGTAGCCTTTTCATGGGCAGTTGAAGAATGAAGGTAGTTGTTGCAGGGTTGCAATCACCTCATAAAGCTTCTTTTGCCGCCCCTTAGATTCAATAGGGAAACGTCTCAGCAAGACAAATAACCTGAAGTAAAACAACAGCACCTTTTATTTTAGGCAATACATAACTAGGGCTGCAAATCAGTACAATAGCAAAAGACACTGAACATTGGGTTACCTTCCACCATATACTGAAAAGCCAAGAAGCGCGATGAAGGAGACAGCTACAATGAATATTTTGCTGGCCAGCTCAACCACAGCATTATCATTTATTCCGAGGTATATCCATATGCAAAACTGTCCAGATGTGCAACCAGAGGTACGGAGTCAAAGTTGGAAAAAGGTAATTTATAATCCTCAATTAATAGAAAAGAAATCCAATAAATTATATACACATAGAAATTGCATGGACAGGAAGAAAGCGATGTCTTTATTGAATGATGAGAAAGTAAGAGATGAAAAGACCTGAACAACATATATGATGGTGTTAACGGCAATGTATGCAGGCCTTAGCTTGTCAGTCGGGAGACTCCTAGCCTGCAACTCAACCAAGATTTGTGCTCGTATCATTTGTTTGCGATTTCTGATGGTAAAATGTAACGAAACTCAAGGCTTCCCTTTCCTGATGTAATAAAAATGGAAAAATGGAGATGATTTAAAACTAAAGGTGTGTGTGGCACACCTGATGGTATATTTCTGCCCAGAAGAGCACAAGCAAGGTGTAGGTGGAGAAAAACAACAACCCGGGGAGATCTAGCAACACCAACTTGTATACCTGTGGAGGAAGCAAAAGGGGAAGATCTTCAAAGGAAAGTGAACCTTGATGTTTACTAGGCACAAGACCGTACATCGTTAGTTCGAGAGCAGATGAAGAAGGAAATTACAATCTTACTTTTGTGCGGAGGAGGAAGACATGGACATGGAAGCCGAATACCAGAGCACGGACTGCAGCAGGAAGACCGGTTGGTTAGCTGGCATGATTTTTAGCAGCATATTCATGAAATAGGGTGACATTCGAGGAAGGATGAAATCGACAAGGAAGAAGCAGATTGATTAGACATAGAGAAGTAAAGATGATTGATTAATTACCCCCATTGACAAGGAAGTTCATGAGGTGGAAGACCTTCTGCGTGGTCCATCCGAACTCGGGCACCCGGCGCTGGATCCTGATGAGCTGAATCTGCAAGTGGGGGCCATGACAGAGGGAGCAGAGGTGAGGATCCAATCCAGTTCCCAAGTCCAAATTGGAACGCTGCCCGGTGCCTCTTGCTCCACCCCCCTGGCGCAGGGCGGCAGGAGGGCAGAAAAGATTTGGTTTTTGCGGCAGGCGCGGCACCAATCGGCGAATAGCAGCTGAGATCAAGCAGCAATCCCCCCGTCCCCGCGCTGCCGTGCCCTGCCCTGTCAGCCCCGAGGAGGCAAGGAGGGGGCGGGTAGCGGAGGAAGGGAGGGAGGGCGTACCAGTGCGACGGCGGAGACGAGGGCGTAGGCGGCGGCGAGGGAGAAGAAGGCCGCGTCCTGCCACTGGGGCGACTCGTTGACGTCGTCCCACCAGCCCCGGAGCGCGTCGGCAGCCGAGGAGGAAGCACCCGCCGTGGCGGCGGCAGTAGCGAAGGAGGAGGCCAGCTCCCTCCTCATCTCTCCCTCCCTCTCGCTCGCTCTCTCCCCCCTTGGTGCTCTCTCCCTCTCCCTCTCTGCGCTTTCTCCTGTCTGTGTGCCTGCGCCGCGACCCGCGAGGGAGGAGAGGAGGAACAAGACACGCAGAAGAAAGGAGGGAGGCAACAAGGGAAAAGGAGGTGGGCCCACGCGTCAGTGTGTGTTTGCGGCTGGGGCCCGGCAACAGTGAGGGAGAGGGCGGTGGGATTCTTTTTTCAGCGCTGCGTCAGCGGATTGCGCTTGGCGCCGGCACACGTCGGCTCCACGTGGTCACACGTACTGACTACTAGCAACTTCCTTCCGTTTTGCTTGCCTGACTCTCACCGGGTAGGGTAGGCGGGGCCCACCTGTCAGGCTGACATGGTGCTTTGCCTTAGCTTTTCTCTCGGCCTCTGATCCTAGCTACCCCTCGAACTCTTCCTAACCCTCTGATCTGCATCTGCTGGAGCCAAGGAGAAGGATGAACATTTGAGCCAAGAGAAACCTTAGTTTTTTTTTCTCCAATACGCACGAGTGTGCGTATCATTGCATTCGAAGAATGGAGTTTATACTACAAGAAGCCGATCCTGGCTAGTCGGAAAGCAGTAGAAGGCTACATTTCTGAAACTGACATTCTACGAAAACACTATATCTGAATCGAAACGCTATCCTGCAGCTAGCACTTGCAGTCTGTCGGCTTCGGCATCGATCCAGCGCTCGGCTTCGGCCTTTATGACTTGCAGCGTTTCACTGACCGTGGCCGTCGAGCCCCTGAAACAACGCGCATTTGCGCTCCTTCCATACCTGCCAAGAGACCAGTGCGAATAGAGAGTCAAGACCTGGCCGTCGCTCGCTGTTTGCCGAGGAACGCAGTCGCCGCCACCAGCTCAACGTCGTCGGCGGCTCGGCGCAGCCTGCGGTAACTGAAGGCCCAGCTTTTGGAGAACGAGGAACCAGATTTCCCTGGAGAATGAGCATGTCGCAATGATATGGTCAATGGTTTCCACTTCCTGATCGCAGAGATAGCAGAGTCCCTTGCGTCGAGGCTATGTCTTCTCCTTAAAGATCTTAATCTTCAATGGCGCCCAAGTTTTCTAGACTAGGCACATGCATGGAGTATTAAATATAGACGAAAAAAAACTAATTGCACAGTTTAGTTGGAAATCACGAGACGAATGTTTTAAAATTAATTAGCCCATGATTAGCCATAAGTGCTACGGTAACTAACATGCGCTAATGATTGATTAATTAGGCTTAATAAATTCGTATTGTAGTTTTCAGACGAGCTATGTAATTAGTTTTTTTTTATTAATACCTGAAAACCCTTCCGACATCCTCGAAACATCCGATGAGACATCCAAAATTTTTCGTTTCGCGAACTAAACACAGCCTTATGGCCGAGGAAGGGGCTAGAGCCAGCATGTAGCATGAGGTACGCCGATTTTGCCGTGTATTCGCCGTTCGGAGTCCAACTCCAAACTGTTTTGTCAGGCTGGTCCGTTAGCTGGACATTGGCCACGGCGTTCCAAAGATGCAGGTAGTCAATGATGGCCTGAGTGGATAGTCCCCCGGCGATGCTGCGAGCCCATGTCCTGTTGTGCAGCCCCATGCGTACAGATTGGCGACGCCGGATTCTTTGCTGGCACCAGGCGATAGAGGCAAGGGGCAATGTCACTGGCCGACTGTTCATCAATCCACCTATCTTCCCAGAACAAAGTGCTATGTCCATCGCCCACGACGGTGTATGTTGAGGCCTTGAAGAAAGCTTGCACTTCGGGGCAGGTACAGGTACGGATTGGGAGCTGGCTCCAAGTGGTAGTTGATCTTCACCAATAGACTTAAGCCCTTGTCTCTGCGCCCTAATCGGGGACGTCCAACCATAATATGGTTGGTGGGCCTCTGTCGCACAGCATATATAAAAGAGAGGTGGGGATCACGGCTCTAACTACGAGGTTGGTCTGAGCCGCCGTGATCCACCAACAGAAAACCTAATCCGATCTACAGTAGTGCTGCTAGCAACGGAAGCCCCACCGACTCCGCCGTCGCCACTGGACCTCGACTCCACTATGCTGGAACCACTGCACCGAGTTGCCGGGTCACCGTCGTCCAAGCCGATGTGGCGCCATGGACCGAATGGTGACCTAGACTAAGGCACATCAACAATTTTCACATCTAAGAGAAAAAACCTACCCCCCTGATCTATGGTTTAGGGGCACTGTTGTGTCTAACACCAAGCTCTATCCTGGTCTGCTTTCTGCAGCCACAGCCACCTTGTTTGGAGGGCGTATTCCGTAAGCTTCAGGTCATTGATCCCAAGACCGCCCAGCTGAGTTGGTCTGCAGCACGTCGGCCAGGCCACCATGCATTTTCCTTGCACTGACTGATCTGAACCAGCCCAGAAGAACTTGTGGCAAATGGCGTTGATTTCTTTTCTAGCCCATCACTACGGGAGACACGTTTTTTGCCGAGTGCTCGGCGCTTTGCCGAGTGTCGAAACACGGGCACTAGGCAAAGAGGTAGTTTGCCGAGTGTCGCACTCGGCAAAGCCGGCACTCGACAAAGGCCGTCTTTGCCGAGTGCCAAACACTCGGCAAAGAGGGACACTTGGCAAACGTCCTCTTTGCCGAGTGTCAGGCACTCGACAAAGAATAACCCTCGGCAAAATACCTCAGGCGACGCCGGTGGCCCCTCCGTCATCCTTTACCGAGTGCTGGCCGTTAGCACTCGGCAAACGTGCTGTCTTTGCCGAGTGTCTAGCCTGGCACTCGACAAAGAGGTTCCTTTGCCGAGTGCCAATTCTGACACTCGGTAAAGTATTTTTATTTTTTTTTTTTTTTTTTTTAAATTTTTGTGGCATTTATACGGTACCTTGAAGCACATGTTCCAATTTAGAACTTTTCTATGACTTTTTGGTATATTTTTTTTAAATTTTTATGTTTACTTGAATTTTTCTCGAAAAGTTAAATTTGAACTGCAGGTGCATGAAATATTGGAATTTAGCGATTTAAAAAATGGTATTCATGTTTTTTAGTGTATTTTGAGGCCGTGTGCAGGACATTCGTGAAATTCCGAACATCTATTTCACGAAACATGACCACTATCTTGTTAAAAAAGTGTTTTTTAATTATATAAAATGCAAACGAAGTCTGAAAATCACGAAACTTGTCGAGGTGTCGTGTCATCGCATGTAGAGGTTGTGGTAAAAAATTTAGAAGTTTCCGAGCAAGTTGTGATGTACGATGCCTAAAACCCAGATGTGTCTTCGGCATAGAAGCTCCTACACGAGAAGGCAACGGTTTCTCAACTAGATGCCATTGGACGCCTAATGGGGTTGAAGTCCCAGTACAACATGAGTCGAGCCTGCTTCGATGGTAAGTTGGCAGTTATCGGTGGGCTGCTTCCGGAGGATCATATTCTGCCGAGCAGCTTCTACGAGTCACAGAGACTCCTTCGTGCACTTAAGATGTCGTATGAGCAGATACATTATTGTCTGAAGGGGTGCGTCCTATTTAGGAAAAATCACAATGATGCAAAGTATTGTCAAAGTGTAAATCCTCTAGGTATGTGGAGGTAGACAAAGGTGATGGCCGGAAGGAGCAGCTTGAGATCTCCATGAAAGTCCTACGGCACCTTCCAATCATACCGAGGCTCCAACGGCTATTCATGACCGAGGAGTCCGCGAAACGGATGACATAGCATAAGAATGACATTCGATACAATCCTAACAAGATGGTACATCCAGCTGATGGTGAAGCATGTTAAAGCTTTAATCGCAAGCATCGTGATAAAGATCTTGAGGCCCATAATGTACGTGTTGCGCTGGCAATGGATAGGTTCAATCCTTATGGAATGATGTCGACCACATACACTTGTTGGCCCGTGTTCGCTATCTCCCTCAATCTCCCCCGGGGTCCTCCTTCAACGGCAAAACATATTCTTGACGTTGATAATTCCTGGACACCCAGGAAACAAAATGGGTGTGTACATGGAGGCTGTTTATGATGAATTGATCAGTGCTTGAAATGAAGGGGTATGGACTTACGACCGAGCTACAAAGAAAAACTTTAAAATGTATGTTTGGTACCAGTACTCCATGCATGACTTCCTGGCGTATGGGATATTCAGCGCCTGGTGTGTCCACGGGAAGTTCCCATGCCTGGTATGCAAGACAACTCTGGAGTTCATTTGGTTGAACAATGGTGGCAAGTTTTTATCGTTCGACAAGCATCGACAGTTCCTCCCTCTTAACCATGCATTCAGACAAGACACCAAGAACTTCACGAAAGGTGTCAAGGTGACCGACCCTGAACCTCAGAAGATGACTGGTGCCTAGGTTCATGCTCAGATAGATGCTCTCGTGGTCAATCCACAGAAAGATAGTCGAAAAAAAGATAATCCAAAGAAAGATTGCTTTGTGGGATATGGTGTCGAACATATGTGGACTCATAAGTCGGGCTTGGAGAGGCTTCCCTATTTTGATGACCTTCTCCTTCCACATAATATAGATGTAATGCACACTGAGAAGAATGTCGCCGAAGAACTTTGGGCAACACTCATGGACATCGAGTACGACCCAGATGCCCCGCTTGAGGCGTACACCAACTCCAGCGTCCACACCCACCTCTCTTCATACATGGAGGCGGTAAGGTCAGTCCATGGGCCGGGCTACGATCCGAGAATCGAGAAGCGCCTTGATCCTCAGCTCGTGATGAGGGTGGGGCAAGGCAAGAAGCATGGGCGGTTCTGAATTGGCGACGGCGTCCTCGACACGGCCTCTACTCCTCCTCTCCACCAGCTTCGAGCAGCGAGCACAAGCTCAAGCGTGCCCATACGCCAACGACCGACCGCGGTGTCGGCACTCCAAGTAAGCATTCCTGTTTCATTCGTCGTTCTTTGACTTTTACATACCTTACCTATGAATTATTGAAACATTAGGGTCAAATGTTGTAGGCCTAGGTGCAGGAACTGCAGGCCGAGCGGTAGAGGCTACAGGCTTTGGAGGC